GAAATAACCCACAAGTCCCTAAAGAATAAGACAGTATGGCAAATAACATGGTAAATTCATACAAGGAAATATTATTCAGCATTGAAAATGAATGCACTAATGCCACACTCAATGTGGATGAATCGCAAAATGTAATTTTGAGCAAAAGCAGCAAGATACAAAAGAATACAAATGATTCCACTTACATAAAGTACCAAAAATGGTGCTTTATTTCACAATAAAAATGCAAAAAGAAGTACATCCAATGGTCATTTCAAAATACATTCAGAAAAAAAAAAAAAAACATAATAAGCTGTGCCCATCATTTATGTTTTGGTGAAAATAGGTCTGTTAGCTCCATGATTGCAAATAGTCTTGAGAGGGAAGGAGAGAAGAGCACGCATGAAGACTCTAAATTCTAGAAGAGGGTAGTGGTGAGACTATGAGCTCTGGAATCACACTGACCTGGATTAGAACTAGAGCCCTGCCATTTACTAACTGTGGATCTTGGGCTGGGGTATAAATCTCTCAAACTCTCTGTTCCCCACCTAGAAAATAAAGATCACAGTGGGCCCAACATCATAGGGTCATTTTGAGGCTTATAGCATGCACTAGTTTTCACTAATTGTCCAATAAGTGTTTTTTTTCTTTCCCAAGATTGGAAGTAGAGGAGGAAATCAGCACAGGCAGTAGCAAAGGAAAACACTGGGCACTCACTGTGTTTCCTTCCCACTCACCCCCGGGTCACTCCCCTACCCCAAAGGCTTCTCTGTGAACCACTAACACTTGCTTCTCTAGCAAGAGTCACCAGAGATCTTGTTATTCAACCCAACGAATATCTTTTCTCTACATCATTTGATACTGTTTACTGTTTCTTCCTCCTTGAAACTTTTCCTCTGTTGTTTTCTTTGATATCCTGGGCTGTCCCCTTCTCACTAAAACCCCCATTATTGCCCACCATCAGGCCCTTGTCACTTTCCTCCTGTCTGCAACAGCCTCCTAACTAGTTTTCTCCAGCATGGCCCCTCTCCAACCCTCTCTCCACACTACAGCCAGCATGTTTGTCCTAACGTGGATCTCACCACGCCTCTTCCCCACAGCCTTACAGCAACCTCTATCCTGTTCAGCCCTGGAAGATCTAGTCTTTCTATCTATCTGTCTTCAGGTTCATCAATTGCTGCACTAACCTACCCACTCTCATATGAACCTTCTTGGCTTTCTATCACCTGTTTTCTCTACCTGGAATCTGACCATATTACCTGCCTGACATAATGAACTTTAAAACTCAGGGTAGGTCTCCTTCCCACCCACCATGCACTCCTTTCTAGATTACATACCTTCCTTTGTAATCAGTACAATCTATAGTCATTCTTGAACCTCTGCACTATTTACCCATGGATGCTCTACATACTCAAAAGACTGTCAACTTTGTAAAAGAAGGCATGTTTCCTACTGATCTTTCTATACCACCACCCAACATAGTGGCCAATAAAAGCCTAGTTAAGTAAATTAATGAATCAAGCAAATAATCAATGCTTACTTCACAGTTTTACAGAACTATCATCGCATCTCCTCTACTACAACTTTCTCATCTACTTCTACAGGAGAAAAGGGGTTATGCATCATATCCTTGTCTCTTAAACTCTGTCTTCTAACATTTAGTAATTATTTATTGTCATCATTATTATATTTTTCCACAACATATTTATCTAATCAAAAATTTTACAGGTATTTTAAACCTCTTGATCTTGTTCAACATGCTGTAAGTGTAATTGGATAGCCATGAATCCAAATACTAACTTTACGCCTGACTAACTCTGAGATCTTAAGTAAGTCATTCAACTCCATTTCCGTTTTCTCATCTGTAAAATGAGGGTAAAAATTCCTAACCAATGGCTTTCTTATGAAGTTAAATGAACTGAAATGAGGTTAATGTACATAAAGCATTTAGCACATTGCCTAGCACAAATAGGAATGCAGAAATAGTATCTACTAGTATTAATGCACAGCTAAGGCTTATTTTGCAGAGTATAATTTGTTAATCATTCACTATACTGCTCTGTACTTTTCAAAACTGAGGGTCACCTTGGTTTTAAGAGTAAAGCCTCGGCTGGGCATGGTGGCTCAAGCCTGTAATCCCAGCACTTTGGGAGGCCCAGGCAGGCGGATCACGAGGTCAGGAGATCAAGACCATCCTGGCTAACATGGTGAAACCCCGTCTCTACTAAAAAATACAAAAAAACTAGCTAGGCGAGGTGGCAGGCGCCTGTAGTCCCAGCTACTCGGGAGGCTGAGGCAGGAGAATGGCGTAAACCCGGGAGGCAGAGCTTGCAGTGAGCCGAGATCCAGCCACTGCACTCCAACCTGGGCAACAGAGCGAGACTCCGTCTCAAAAGAAAAAAAAAAAAAGAGTAAAGCCTCAATAACTATATACATGAATTTTTTCCCAAAAGGAAAAACTTTAAAATGTATGCTTTTATAAAACATATGCATATATATATATATGCTGCATAACTACCTTGCTAATTTTGTAAGTGAAAAATATTAAATCAAATGAAAATACAGATTCCACTCAATAAATGATAGCATTTTCATTGTGCAATCCACATACTATTTTAAATGCATGTTAATCATGTATGTTATTCATTCATGAAACATGCTTCAAGTATATAACATAAAAAATTCAGTTAAAACTTTTGTTTTTCCTATTTTCTGTGCTTAATATCTCAATTTTAAGCTCATTAAAGTTTAAGTGGTGGTTTTGATGAAGGCAATAAGAACAGAAAAATATTCAACCTTAGGAAGCTGATGGAAAGGAAAGAACAGAAAAACAGAAATGAAGAAAACAGAATCAATTAGATAGAACTACATGAGGACATTTGTATGGCCATTGTAAATATGAGGGCAAGATTTCTAGAAGATGTATCTGACATTTAATACATATTATAGGTAGAGTATATATTTGTATTCTTTAAAATCACCATATCCTTCACTAATCTAAAAGTGAGGGATCTGTTTGCTTTATCTACAAAACTTACTTTCCCCTTTCCCAACTGCCACTCCCCAGAAAAGAAACAACATTTGTGAGCTATTTTATTCAAAAAGGAGAATCTCATGACAATAGTATTATTGTGACAAGCATTTTCCACACTTTATTCTTCATGCCCAGAATGACATTAATAAGATAAGACATTTTAAAAGTCAATAGCACTTATTTTGAAGTTTAAACCATCATGTTAAAAAAAAAAGTCGTTTCCTTAAACAGGAAATGTATTAATAATGGCACAAAAGACAGTACAAGTCATTCTATAGAGCACAATGTTTCCCTTCAAAAAGAAAATAATATCCTTATTCTCAAAGGGTAGTAATTAATGTAGTTGTTTAAAAAAAACACAGGAGAGGGGAAAATTTTAGCACCCTTCATCTCACATTCATATATATTTTGCTGAGTCCTGATCAATTGAAAAATTAATGTATTTCACTAAAGATTTAAGCTGAGACAATCTGAAACTTAAAATTGTGTCAATATAATCTAGTCGTCACCAAATAAGTTTTATTTGCTTTCTACATATATTATTTATTTTTATACCAACATTTGAAAAACTATTTTTGCAACTGACCTAGTCTGTTAAGCATCATCGTACCCCAGAAAGCTTTGCAAAGAATGAATTACTGGGGCTGCTCTGTCTATGAGGTAGCCATTCTTTTACTCCTTTTCTTTCCTAATAAACTTGCTTTCACTTTAAAGATAAAAAAAGAATGAATTATTAAAATAGTACATTTTTGCAGACTAAGTTTTTAGATATACTTATAGAACAGAGATTTAAGATGAAAATATGTTTAGCATTGTTTAATTTGCATTTTATTTGCAATAACTTCAGATTAGATAGTATTGGGGGGAAAACTATCAAGCAATGTAATCATACATGGATTCAAAGTCCTGAGTGGTTACCAACAGTATATTTTATTTCCTATTAGCTAAAAACATACAACTTTACATTTTGGTTCAATTCACTGCCTAACTCATTTCACCAACAGGTCTGATTTTTCCATCTTTTCTTTTTCTTTTTCTTTTTTTTATTTTTTTTGAGACAGGGTCCTGCTCTTGTCACCCAGGTTGGAATACAGCGGTGCAATCCAGGCTCACTGCAACCTCTCTGCCTCCCAGCCTCAAGTGATCCTCCCACCTCAGCCCGCAAGTTGCTTGGACTAAAGGTGCACACCACCACAACAGGCTAAATTTTTTTGATTGATTGACTGATTGATTGAGACACAGTCTCTCTCTGTCGCCCAGGCTGGAGTGCAGTGGGGCGATCCCGGCTCACTGCAAGCTCCGCCTCCCGGGTTCACGCCATTCTCCTGCCTCAGCCTCCCCAGCAGTGGAGACTACAGGTGCCCGCCACCACACCCGGCTAATTTTTTGTATTTTTAGTAGAGACGGGGTTTCACCATATTGGCCAGGCTGGTCTTGAACTCCTGACCTCGTGATCCGCCTGCCTTGGCCTCCCAAAGTGCTGGGATTACAGGCGTGAGCCACCGCGCCCGGCCTTTTTTTCCTTTTATATTTTTTGTTGGTCTCAAATTCCTAGACTCAAGTGATCCATCCACCTCAGCCTCCCTAAGTTCTGAGCCACCATGCCCATTCTTATCTCAATAACATTTCCTCATTTGATTAGAAGGGAAAACTTTTGGGTGGGCACGCTGGCTCACGACTATAATCCCAGCACTTTGGGAGGCCGAGGCGGGTGGATCACATGAGGTCAGGAGTTCAAGAACAGCCTGGCTAAGATGGCAAAACCCCATCTCTACTAAAAATAAAAATACGGGCGTGGTGGCACATACCTGTAATCCCAGCTACTTGGGAGGCTGAGGCAGGAGAATCGCTTGAACTTGGGAGGCAGAGGTTGCAGTGAGCCAAGATCATGCCATTGCACTCTAGCCTGGGCAACAATAAAATAAAAAGAAAAGAAAACTTTTGCCAGAGTTTAGCCTAATGACTGAAGTGTATCAATTTTAGGTACCTTTGCGTGTTGAGCAGCTGCGAGGTCAATCAAAGGCATTGTCAAATCCATCCTGAAATATAATAAACTAAGTTTAGTCTGTCTACTTCATAAAAATTTATAAAAAACACATCAAAATTCAGTAGCTAACAGATTTCCTAAAGCAAATAAAGGCTTGTATAGATGACTGCCTGTGTAGATTGATTCAAGTCACTGAGTCATCAGCATGTTTATAAGTGAATGGTTACCTGAAGATGGATAAGCCAAAGGAAATCTCTTATTTTCTAGCTCAGGATGTGAGAAGGACTCTGGAAACAAATGTTCTTCTTTCTAAAATGGGACTCCCAAGTCTCTAAAATTGTTGCTTTGCTTTTGAATGATCGATCATTCTCAGGATCCAGGATGTAGATTATTCCTTTGAAGATAGCTTCTTACTAAAAAGTAGTTTGAGGAATGATTTAGAAATGCTTTTTTTTTTTTTTTTTTTTTGACACAGGGCCTTGCTCTTTCACCCAGGCTGGAGTGCAGTGGCACAATCATAGCTCACTGAAACTTCCTAGGCTCAAGTGATCTTTCCACCTCAGCCTCCCGAGTTCCTGGGACCACAGGCACATGCCAGCACACTCAGCTAATTTTTTAATTATTTGTAGAGATGGGGTCTTGCTATGTTGCCCAGGCTGGTCTTGAACTCCTGGGTTCAAGTGATCCTCCCACCTTAGCCTCTCAAACTGCTAGGATTAGATTGTAGGTGTGAGCCACCTCTTCTTCTTGTTGTTTGCTTGTTTGTTTGTGCTTGTTTCTAGAGATGGGGTCTCACTGTTGCCCAGGCTGGTCTCAAAGCAATTCTGCCTCAGCCTGCCAAAGCATTGGGACTACATGCATGAGCCACCTCACCCAGTCTAGAATTGTTTATTCTGAATATCTCATTTTTAAAGCAAAGAAGATCAGTTTGGGTTTAGTAGCAGAAACAGTAAAAATTAAATTCTTACTTTCTCATAAAGCTGGAAGTTGCATAAATATATTAACATGAAAAGGCACATCTTTTTTATGTGAGTTATCTGAAAATGTAATTTCAACCAAAAGCTAAGCAAAGGAAAACATGAAAATATCAAATCCTCTTATCTAATAGGCTTGGATTCATTTGGACTGGGGCAAAGGAGGTGGTGTTAAATCATTCTATTAAGCTGATTTAGTAAAAGTCTCAAAATATGCCCGGAGTGGCCGGGCACCATGGCTTATGCCTGTCATCCCAGCACTTTGGGAGGCTGAGGGGGGTGGATCACCTGAGGTCAGGAGTTCGAGACCAGCCTGGCCAACATGGTGAAACCCTATCTCTACTAAAAATACAAAAATTAGCCTGGTGTGGTGGCAGGCGCCTGTAATCCCAGCTACTCTGGAGGCTGAGGCAGGACAATCACTTGAACCGGGGAGGCAGAGGCTGCAGTGAGCCAAGATCATGCCACTGCACTGCACTCCATCCTGGAAGACACAGCAAGCCTCTGCCTCAAAAAAAAAACAAAACCAAAAAAAAAAAAAACACTCAGAGTGCTGAGTGGGTATAAGAATGACTCATCTGGCTGGGCGCAGTGGCTCACGCCTATAATCCCAGCACTTTGGGATGCCAAGGAGGGCGGATCACAAGGTCAGGAGTTTGAGATCAGCCTGGCCAATATGGTGAAACCCTATCTCTACTAAAAATAGAAAAATCACTGGGTGTGGCAGCGGGTGCCTGTGGCCCCAGCTACTCAGGAGGCTGAGGCAGGAAAATCACTTGAACCCGGGAAGGAGAGCTTGCAGTGAGCCGAGATTGTGCCACTGCACTCCAGCCTGGGTGACAGAGCAAGACTCCATCTCAAAAAAAAAAAAAAAAAAAAAAAAGAATGACTCACCCTGCCACCATTTCTTGAGCTGTTTGGTGAGCAAAGGTGCCTACTGCTTTGTCTGGTATGATTTGAGGGGGATTTAATGAATGCAGAAGTTCCTCATCCATTCAAAGACAAACAGAAAAAAAAAAAAAAATTCTGTCCCAAAATAGCTTCCTTACTAATGGTATGAAATTTCACCATTTATTAAAATAAATAAAAGAGCAAGACTAGGCCGAGCACGATGGCTCATGCCTGTAATCCCAACACATTGGGAGGTCAAGGTGGGAGGACTGATTGACTCCAGGAGTTAGAGACCAGCCTGGGAAACATAGCAAGACCCCATCTCTACAAAAAAATTAAAAATTAGCCAGGCATGGTGCCATGTGCCTGTAGTCCCAGCTACTTAGGAAGCTGACGCAGGAGGACGGCTTGAGCTTGGGAGGTTGAGGCTGCAGTGAGCCATGATTACACCATTGCATTCCAGCCTGGGCTACAGACAGAGACCCTACTTCACACACACAAAAAAGTCTATATATTAAATAAAGAACAAACTGGTAAAACTGTTTCACAGTTCTATCCCCAGCCTGGTACAAAGGCTGATAAATAAATATCTGTCCAATGCACACATTTCCATTTGTTGCTTTTCTCTATCAAATCTCCTTCCAGCCCATAAATGCTATTCAAAGACATTATTGAAAAGCGAAGGGAAAGCACAGGGTAAAGTGCCCTTACTTTTTTGGAATAATGGAGATAAAGGCAAATTTCCAATTGGTAACAATATTTTGGCTAGCCTGGCTAATAAATGAAAAAGGAGAGAATAAGTGTTCTCTTCTAATGCATGAATTTGGTTACTTAATAATGGAATACATTCTTTATCATCAAAATTTTGTGAGCCAAAATTCAGTGGATAGCAGTGTGTCCTCGTTTTTATAAATTCCTATAAATCCTAATTCTAACCTTATTTCATTGAACAATTGGGGTGGGAGAGCTGGGTTAACTGGGAAAAAAAAACCTAGCATGTAGACTTTCACTAGCCCTTCCATATTTTCAGATTTTGTAGTAATCATATTTATTATTGGAATTGAACATTAATAGATTAGAGAAGAACAAACGATTCTGCAGACCTAGTATTAATATTTAGGAAAATTCTTACATGAATAAAGTTTCACTCACCCATCCCAGGGGCCTGAGAGCCTGTGTTAATTTGCACAGTTTGTAACCTAAAGTCTGAATAAGGCTTATTGGAAAAAGTCAAATGGAGAGCTGTGTACTGTGTTATCATGTCAACTATTAGATTACCTTTTAAAGAGAGAAAAAATATATGGCAGGTTTCATTTCCACACTTCAAAGAAAAGGCAATAGTGTTATGTGAAATTCAGGAAGGAAAATTGTTTAGTTGCATCTTTGGTAACAATTTGGAAGCATCCATTGTATTACTTCTGTAATGTTATTGAGCTAGTTTTATTAAGGCAAATTTATAGCAATGTTAGAAATTAATACCACTCTTATTTCCTCCACTGCCTGACTTTATTGAATGCCATGGGGCATATTAATCAGTAAAGCCAAGTAGTGCATGAAATAAAAGTATAAATTAACCTGTAACATGAATGTAAAAGGGGCTTAATAAAATAGAAATAAATAACACTTTAATGATAATCAACCTGCCCTGTCTGAGTCAAGCAAAAATTGTGATAATGCCAAACACAGAGTCTAAAGAGCCCTATATATTTATACGAAGTTAGATGGAAGCATACATTGAAATGGAAGTCAAAGATGGTAATTTTGGCTACATAAGCCAGAAATGGTGTGTTACTTGAATCATGGTACTATCAGTTCAACAGACAAATGGACTGCATTAGGTAACTATTCTAAGTTCCCACTTTTTGCCAAATGGTTTAGAAGGAATTGTCTTATTGGGTTTCCTCCCTACTCCAATGATACTTTTTAAAGTATACTATAGGTTTAAAATGTATTGATTTGAACTATTTTCTTGAAATATTTTTAAAATAATATATTTTCCTAAAATTATTTAAATCCCTTCTCTGTAATTAGAGCCCCCTTTTGCTTTCTTCATGTTATTGTCCCTTTTCTCTTTCTCTCTGGATCAAATAGAATATGATATTAATATATCATGTCTGCAAACTGTAAAACTTTTCAGAGAAAGAAAGACATTACTGAACAACACTCACATATAACAGGCTGATGCTCTATTTTTCTCCAAAAAGTGCTTTATGAGTGTATAATTGAGTCAACTATGGTACTACAGTGTAAGACGCCTACAAAATGAAATTCAGTGCTTATTTAAAACAAGTAGCCATAGAATGATAATTTATTTCTTTCTTTTCTTTTTTTTTTTTTTTTTGAGACCGAGTTTCACTCTTGTTGCCCAGGCTGGAGTGCAATGGTATGATCTCAGCTCACCGCAACCTCTGCTTCCCGAGTTCAGGCGATTCTCCTGCCTTAGCCTCCCAAGTAGCTGGGATTACAAGTGCCCACCACCACGCCCAGCTAATTTTTTGCATTTTTAGTAGAGATGGGGTTTCACCATGTTGGCCAGGCTGGTCTCGAACTCCTGACCTTAGGTGATCCACCTGCCTCAGCCTTCCAAAGTGCTGGGATTACAGACGTAAGCCACTGCGCCTGACCTGATTTCAACTACTCATAGAAACACTGAAACAGACCTAAGCTTTCCATCTTATCTCCAAATCTATGTTTATATATGCCATCAAAGAGAGATCATGGTGGGGGAGAGACTTATTATGCCTTTATTATGTTATTTTGAATAATAAGCATTTAGAATAATAAATTATGTTCCCCAGATGTAAGATGTTATTATCAATATTCACGGAAAGAAAAGACCCATAAAGCTAGGTATTCTCCTGGATTTTAGCATTGACTATATTAGTCAAGGAAGGTGACATAAAAACATTTTATATCATATTCTAAAATTATGTGGAGAGAGACTTTTAAATAACATCTTTTTTATTTTGCTTTCTAATGATGTTGCTAAATAAACTGAATTAAATCTTCAAAGGATCCTGTGCCCTGGCACCAAATCAATCATCCTGGAATGTAATTCCTATTATATCTCCCTCTAAAACCCTCCCTGGCTCCCACTGCCTCTAGAATAAAGTTCTAACTGCTTAGCTGCACATCAGAACATCACAGATAGCCCACTGCTCCTTTGTATATACCCAAGGTTCCTACATCTTAGTCTCACTAGGACCCCTTTCCAACACTACCCCTTTGCTTATGATCTTCTTTCTGCCTGAAGTATCTTGCCCTCTCATAACTACACATCCCACCCACTACCATCCCCATAAAGTTTTCAACCTTCAAGACCTCTTCAAATGCTATTCCTCCCTAAGGTTTTCTGATCACCCCAAGATGGCATTTTTTAATTTCAAAGTGGAAAGAACCAGAAATGTCAATCCACAGAATTGTTGATCCATCGTAGAATTTTAAACCTTACACTATTTTGGCAAAAAAGAAAAAAAATTAATTATTCTCAATTTTTTTTTTTTTGAGATAGAGTTTTGCTCTGTCTGGCCCAGGCTGGAGTGCAGTGGTGCAAATCTCACTGCACTCCGGCCCAGGCTGGAGTGCAGTGGTG